CACATTTGAAAAGTCATTTCCTAAGCAAGTCACAATAAGAACACATGTATGGAGGGTAGGCAGCAAATCCAGAGGGAAACAGTCATTCAAACAACTTGCTGACTTTCAGTTAAAATCCAAGTCTTTTCAAGAGGAATACCTACCATGTGTTGTCAGTTCAGATCATGTGTACCAAAGGCATCCGTGGTCAAGTGTCGATTGATACCCTCAATTGACCCTCGATCGACACTTGATTGACATCTAGATCGATACTCAGTCAACACTAAATTGATCAACACCCCATTATCAGTTGGTTGATAGTAGGCAGAGTGTCAATCGACTCATATGCATCGATCGACACTCCATGGTGTGCTGCTAACCAAGGGGGGATAGGGAGGGAACGCTGAGAACCGCTACACTATAATTCAATCCACAACGCCACACTAACAGAGCGACGAGCACACTGCAAGCACATGGGATGACAACGCATGTACTAACCAAAAATACCGCTGGACAATGTCAGCCTCAGGGCTCTCACGACCCTATGACTGTTGCAAATGCTACAGAATACACCAAACGCTTAACAAATGCTAAGAGATGGCCAAAACACTATCAAATGCCTACAAAAAACACTACTGACCAGACTAGCTCCTGGTCATAAACTATGTAAAATTTCATTGAACTACATCAAACGCTACAGAATGCACCAAACGCTAAACAAACACTAACAGACAGCCAAGACACTAACAACCGCCTATAAAAACGCTACTGACCAGACTAGTTCCTAGTCGTTAACTATGTTAAATTTCATTTAACTATATTTGACCAAGTATGGATGGAGATGTCGATTGAGTGTTGATTGAGATGTCCATGACTAGTCGATCGAAGGTCAATTGGGGGTATCAATCAACACTCAACCGCAGATGCCTTCTGTACGCATGATCCATCAGTTCTAAGAATACCCTATAACTTGTTCAAGTGACAAGGAAGAAAATGAAAATGAAATTAAATACATCATATGACAGAAACAATTCAGACCTCTTGGCAAAGCTTTCCCGTAAGATGAAACCTGTCCTCGTCACT